GAAGATGTTATAGAAAAGAGAAGTTCTATGTCTGCTTATAGCTATTAAAGATGTACGATTAACTGTGACTAATGTCTGGAACCTATTTTAATCTGTAATTGACGCCATGGGGGGCGTGTACCCCACTGCTTTATAAGTATCCACAACATGTATTTTGGTCAGAAGACATATGCTGATGTTTTCTCCGGGCTGTTAATAAACTCATCGTTTGATTGCACTTTTCTGGGGCCTCCGTGGTTTGTCTCACTGCTCTACATTGATCGATTTCGCGACAGCTTTGTGGAGGATGCGGGCAGTGTAGGCTCAGCGAATTCTGGTTGTGCTTGATGGCCGCAAACTGATTTTATGTGCACGGCGCTCAGCAATCTGTCACAAAATGTTTTAGTACGACTTTGCTAAGCTACGGAGCTGCAGCGCTTGATGGATCGTCGGAGCATTACGGCCTCGGAGTGATACGTACTGTGCTTCAACGTAATATTACCGTAAGTGTGTGTATAAGGACCATAAATGGCTCCTGTAAGAGACGTGGTTATGAAGCGGATTTCAAACTCCAGGCTGTCGGTCACGCAGTAGAAGTTAAGAACAGAGCAGCTGCTTGTTATTCTGCTCAGCGTCTGTTAGTTTACATTTCGACTGCACAAAAACAACAGTTTTATTTATGGAGCATGATTATTTAATAAATGCTGATAATTTATTTTTGAGTAGTTTGTTTCATGTACATCTGCGCTGTTTGTTAATAAAAGTGCCTGTGTGACATCTGGGACACAGTGTGACTAAGAGCTGTTTGTTCTGACTTTATGGCTTAAAATAAATAAATAAAAATCGAGATATATATCTTATATCGCCGTCCAGCTAAAAAAAAAATAATAATATCGAGACATGAATTTTGGGTCACATCGCCCGATTTCAGGCCCCGGGACATCTGGCAGCGTCCTCGTCCAGCAGACGGAGGTTCGCCGCCCTCTCTGGTCCACGCCGATCAGCTCTCACCTTCTGCTCGATTTCCTCCTCCGCCCGCCTGATCTTGTCCTCCAGCTCGTCGCGTTCGGCCTGCAGGGCGCTCAGACTCTGCACGGCGGCCTCCCGCATCGCCGCCAGCTCCCGGACCAAGCTGTCGAACGCCACGCCCATCTCCTTCATCGCCTCCGCCTGAGGAGGAGAACGAGAAGAATCGGATCAGAGCTTTGCCTCCGATATCGAGCGTACGCCACGTTTGCTCCGTGTGGATGTTACTGTCGTGGACCAACTTTGTCGGCCAGCGCTCGCTGCTTCTCCACCGAAGCTCTCAGGCTGTCGTTGAGCTCTTTGGCTGCTGATAAACCCATCAGAGTTTGGACCACCAGCACCTCCTCCATGTCCCGTCGGTGCTCCTCCTGCACACACA